AAACTGTGTGTTGGAAGGCGGAGAAGAGGAGTGGGGGAGAGAGAGGGGGGAGAGGGAGGGAGAGAGAGAGAGAGAGAGAGAGAGATATTTTTAAAAGTTCCCCTGTCCAAGTTGTTGCTGCTTCGGTTGAACTCTTGTCAAAGGAGGAAGCGGGGCGGGGAGGGAGGAAGCGGGAGAGAATCTCAGCTCAAAGCAGCTGGATGCTGCTCTCCAGGGTTTAACTTTGTCAGAAATACAGGGGCAGAAAGCAAAAATCTACTTGCCTTTAGACGGGCCAGGGCTGCTGCCTGCCAGCCGAGGGGATCCGGACTCCGAAGAAACCTCGCCCAAGGAGCTGGTGCCTCTCGCAGGCTTCCTCTGGCTGCTTCTTTCTCCCGCTCTCGCCCCTTTCTCCCTCCCTCTCCGCTTTTCTCTTGCTCTGCCTCTTTTTTTCCCCTCCGTCTCTCCGCAGTCCGGGGAGTAAAATCTTAGATGATACACATACAGAACTGGGGTGGGTGGGTGGGTGAGGGTGGTGGGAGTGTGTGCGTGTGTGCCTGTGAGAGATTTAATCTTATTCCTTTCACCTTTTTCAGCGACCACCAGAATACAGGACCGAGACTTTATTGGAAAAGAGGGAGCGAGGCGGGGGGGGGGGGTTGGGAAGCCCGCTGTTGCATTTTCAATAACACCCTTTTTATCAATGCAGCCTACAATAAGAACGGCTTGGCAGGGAAAACTGATTGCGGCGCCCGGGAGGGGGGGGTTGGAGAGGGGGAAGTCACCCTTCATTATTCCACCACCAAATTGCGAACTGCCTGTTGGGCTCCAAAAAGCGCCCCTTTGCATCTGAGCTCCTGAACTTTCGAAACTAGCAAGGGACACCCGAGTCACCCACCGATACAACTTTTTGCATCTCGGCAAAAAGAAAAAAAAATCCGTACTTAATATCTCAGGAATCCCTTGCCTTCTGGCCTTAGAACTTTTATAGAAGTTGGGAAGGTGGGGAAAATATTGAAAAGGTGTCGATCGGAGCACTGAGAGTATAACCTCTTGGACGTTAATAAAAATGGTATATATATTCGCTATCCCTATGAAACAAATATTTTACCCTCTCAGGCTTTCTTTCCCTTTGGAATTTAAAGGGACAAATAAGATGCTTCACAACCACCCTGATTCTGTAGAAGCCGCTGGGGATTTTTTACCACAACACAAGGGGGGGAGGCGATATAGACTGCAGTTTGAACACACACACACAGCGCGCCTCTCTCTCTCTCTCTCTCTCTCTCTCGCTCTCTCTCTGCCTCTCTCTCTCTCTCTCTCTCTCTCTCTCTCTCTCTCTCTCTCTCTCTCTTCCTGTCCGCTAGATGGCAGCACGATTCAGCGATTCCATTAGCAATGGGGAAGGAGAATCTGTCCTCCACCCGCCTCAACACACACACACAGACGCACACGTCCACACACATACAGACAGCACTGTTCCCAGCATACACTCCTCTAAACATCCCCCCCCTCTCTCTCTTACTTGAACTTTCCTTTGCAACACTGGTCCTCAGGTAGACAGCAGAAAAATATTAATGGAGGGGGGATGGGTGCCATGAGGATTTAACGTAAAATACCAACCTATTCTAAGTTAAGCAGTAAAAATTTTAAAAAAGCGACAGAGATGGGATCTCCAAATGAAACGAGATGCTGCTTTCCGATTAAGGAAATTCATCTTGGCGTGAGCAACAGCAAGGAAACAGAACAAAACAAAACGGGGGGGGGGCATTTAAAACGAGGCAAAGAAGGCAAATTAGGCGGAAGAGAAAAAGAGGAGAAACGTGTCAGATTGTAACATATGGAACCACACATGTATATATATATATATTTAAAATACTTACTTCCCTTATGGATTCTCCTTAGCCATCTACTTCCAGCCATTAAACAATGGAATCCAATCCAAGCCCTGCAATTCCTAAACAGGGTGTTTAGGCAGGAAAGGAAGGGAAACCAAAGAGACACAGAGAAAACTAATTTTTTTAAAAAAAACTTTTCGGGATGAGCCAAAATAATTTCCTTTTAATTCCTCTTTTCTGCCTACCCCCCACTGCATCTCTTTCCCTCCCCCCCTTCTTCCTTTCTTTTCTCGTGCGTGTGCGTCTGTGTGTGACCATAGACGACCCATACTAATCAGGTCTCAAAGTAAATAGCCGAGCAGGGCGATCTCAGTGTAAATTGTGCTTGTCAGTAGAATCCCCCTCCCTCTTCCTCCCTCCCCCTCGTCCCTCCCTATCTTAGGCAGTAGGTAGCAAAGAATAAAGGCGGGGGGGGAGCGAGAAAGCGAGAGGGAAAGAGACAAGAGAGAGAGGAGACTCAGCCAATGGAGTGAAGGAGGCTTGGCTAACCTTAGCCTCCCATTTTCTCTCCCCCCAATTCAGGGCTCTGACCAGTCAGTCGCCTTTGATTATCAGTTGCCAGCAGCCCCTCTCTTGGCTCCTTGACATGAGCTCCATATAAGGCAGCGATCTCCATAGAAACGTGTCAGTTTCAATAGTAGTGTCAAAGTTCACTATATACAGACATTCGCGCAGATCTCCCTTTCGGAAACATTGCTCTGCTAGTCTTCCCGTTGAAACGCATTCATTTTTTGGTTCTCTCTCTCCCTCTCTCTCTCTCTCGCTCTCGCTCTCTCTGTGCCTCTCTCTCTCTCTCTCTCTCCCCCTCTCTCTCTCTCTCTCTCGTTTCTTGCATATTCTATTAGTTGATGTCTCCCCCCCTTTTATCTGCTTCTTCCTTCTCTCTTTTTCCACCCTTCTTTTCTTTGAGCCTTTCGCTTCCTTCTCCACGAGACTAGAGAGAGAGGAAACTTAAAAGGAAAGGAGAGAGAGAGAAAAAAAGAAAAAGACAAGACCACAAAGAAAAGAAAAGAGAAAAGAGCAAAGGGGACGCCTTTTTAACATCTTCATATCGTTCGGTTTTTAACTTTTTTTTTACTATTTGGGGGAGGGCTTTTGTAGCCTTGGCTGCTGAAGGTTTTTGTGCCTGTTTTTTTTTTCCTTCTCCCCTCTGATTATTTTCCTGAAGAAAAAGAAAAGGAGAAAAAAGGAAGGCAAGAAAGAAGGAAGGAAGGAATAGAGGCGAAGGAACGAAGGAAAAGCGAGCGAGCGAGAGACAGAGGAGCGGTTTTCTCGGGCGATCTCCGGTGATTATTTGCCACCAGCACGGAAGAAGAAAGAAGGCGAGAAGCGCGAGCGAGGGAAGCGCCAGGAGAAGAGGGTTTATTTATTCGACCTACTTTGGATTGCTCGCTCGCTCGCTCTCCTTTGGCTTTTTCCCTCCCCTCCGCGCGCGTGTAATCTTCGCTTCTCTCCATGTTCGCTTTTGGCGTCGGCACTTGGCTGGGGATCCTCCGTCTGCCGGGCGAAAGCGAAGCTGCTGGCTTCGCCTTGCTAGATTTCCCCCGAAATTAAAAGCGGAAGGAGGGACTGAGAGAGACGAGAGAGCCGGTGGAAGAAAGAAGCGGCGGCGGCGGCGGCAGCAGGAGCCGAGGGACTGCAAAGAACGGCGGCGGCGGCAAGAGAGCCCCAAAGTGCCTCCTCAACTCGGCGCTGGCCTCCGCGCCCGGCTCCTTCTCGGCGTCCCCGGAGCTTCCCGAAGCGCCTCTGCTGAATGGCTGACGACGCGGCGCTGCCTTGGACCTGGCCCCCGGACACCCGCGCGCCCTGAGCGGCAGCTTCGCCTCGGCCGCTTCCTCGCCGGCCTCCCTCCGTTCCCAGGCTCGCGGCGGGGACCAGCGCGATCCAGCGGCGACACCCCCGGTCGGGCCCCGGCACCGAACGGTGGCGGAGGAGGCAGTGGCGGCGGCGGCGGAGGCGGCCGCAGCATCGGCAGCCTTCCTAACAGCAGCGGCGGCGGCGACAGAGACAGAGGCGGAGGCGGCGGAGGAGGAGGCGGCGGCGGCAGAGGCAGCCTCCTGGCGGTCTTCTTCTTCCTCTCGGCTTCCTGCTTCTCTCCGCCCGCGGTGCGAGCTGCTAACCCGCTCGGACGGTACGGGGCTGTGGCCGGCCCGGACTGGGTCGGACGAGCCCATCGCCTCCTCTTCCTCCTTCCCTCCTTCTTCCTCCCTGTCCTCCTCCTCCTCCTCCCCCCGCTCCCTCTCCTCCCCAGGGTGACCCTCCTGAATGCCTTTCCCCACCACCCGCTTCCTCGCCCCGCTTGGTTTTGCAACTTGAGAAAGGACGCGTTTCTGGAGGGAAGGAAAGAGGAGGAGGAGGAGGAGGAGGAGGAGGAAAGGCTCTGGCCGGGCGGCAGAGAAACGCTCCCCGGAGCATTGGGGGGAAAAAGAACGCCGAGAAGCCTTGAAAGCTCGCTGGAATCCCACCGCCCTCTCCCGAGGAATCACCCCGAATTCGAGACGGGGAGAGGGAAAACGCGGGAGCGGGGAAGGCGAGGCGGAGAGGAGGAGGAAGGCAGGAAGGAGGACAGGCGGGGGGCAGGGCAGGAGGGGAGAGCAGCGGAAAGCAACCAGCCGAGAGAGCAGGCAGNCTTAGCCTGCTTCAGTGTGGTGCGATTCTTTATGGTCTGTTTGGGTGGCTGGTTTCACTGACTTCTTCCGTCCCTCCCGCTCCCACCCGCCCGACTCTTTCCCTCCGCCTCCCCCTCGGTAGTCCGCCCGTAATAAACATATCTTGGCCCTGACAGTCTAAGGGGGGAAAACGCGATTTATTATGTCCAGCAAGCCTAGGATGAGCTGGCCGGGTCGGGTGTGTGTGGATATAGTGTAATCGTGCACAAGAAGTCCAGCTGGGTTTCTTGGACGCCTCCCTTTTCCAAACTCCACCTTGCACCACTTCAGCGCATTTCAGCAAAATAAAGAAACGTCAAGTTTCTCACTTTGCCCCAAGTGGGGTTTTCTCCCTTTCCCTGCCCTTCAATTTCACTTTGACTCCGAAGGCCACGAAAGGGAAGCGTCCCTTAATCAGGCTCCTGAGCGACCTAACAGATAAAATGTCCGCGAGACGAGCCAGCCACTTTTGTCTTCTAGGTAAATGGTTTGGGGGCGACGGTCCGGCTGGGAGACGAAAAGCGCTGATTCCCGGCTCCTATTCCCCAAAACCTCTCTTTCTGGCCGCAACTCAAATCAGGCCCGGAGCCTGCGGTGCCTCCGAAGATCCGGCCTTTGCCTTTGGATCTCCTGAACAAGAAGTTCTTTCCCACCCTGCTTTCCAAACTGGCCATTCCCCCCTCGTTCCTTTCTCCTTCCACTCAAAGCTCACCGCAGCTTTGCACCAATACTGTAGTAAATATCAGGCCTCGAAATTTTTATAGAGAAATCCAGAGGGTGGGGAGGGACTTGGTTTAATAGGAGGAAGAAGTGAAGTTGTGGGTCCTTTGGTTCATCCAAAAGTGAACTTTAACTTTTTCAGAGGGCCAAGAAGGAGTTTTCCTCTCGGGAATTGGCCAACGTTGCCTGATGGAAAATCGATGGGGATACTATCCTACACAAACTTTCTTGGGGGGCATTCTCCCTTGAAGGGCGAAGAGAGGAGTGGAGTGGAGTAATGGGGACCTTTCCCGGGGAGAAGCCGCAAGGAATTCCCAGGGATTGCGCTAGACAAGGACTTGGTGCCCCTTTGAGCTCAGTGTAGCAGACACCTCTTGTTTCCACCCTTCAGGTGCTTCTCTCTGAGTCAGCGCCTGGTTCCCTGTTGCCCCCCTAGGCCACATCAAACCCCGGGAATGGTCTGAGTTGCTAGGCCAGGTGGCCACAAACTTGTGGAAAGGATCCTGCTCCTTGCTGGACGGCCACAGTTGAGACTTCATACTTCTTTTCCAACAACTTTGAAGGTACCCATGTTAGTTTTCAACTGGTGAAGATGGTCTCCAGGGAAGCAAAATAGTGAAACTCTAACAGTATCACAGGCTGGCGGGGCTTCTCCCCAGCTCAGGCTTGGCTTTGAATAAACAGGCAGGTTTTTCCTCTCCTTTGGTGGGTAAAGGCACTTTCTCTAAACTTGCTATCTTTTTCCCACCATGTTTGCAGAATCTTATTGATTTTGGCAGGCTTCCTTACTTCCAAATAAGTAGTTTGAAAGTAATTGCTAATGGCTTTTGTAGTATCCGGTATCCAAGAACTAAATAAAGATATATCTGACTCGGATATTGGATGTGATCAAGGACACCTTATTTACACAGACCATGCATACAAACAGGTATCCCCCACTTAAATATAACCATAGTCTTTCTGAAAGCAGGTTAATTTTTATTCATTTCAGCTTCCTTTTTTTTTTAAAAAAAAGAGAAGATTGTTTGATGACTTTATTTTCCTCTTTTTAAAAAAACTCAAAACCCAACAGTTAAGGCAGAACCAATCGGTCATCAGACATCCGATTTTCTCAAGTAAAAACAATAAGGAGGACGGCCAGATCAGTTGCACTTCACGAAGAAGGGAAGGGAAGATACCCCTCTTTTTAAAAAAAAAATCTAGGTGTCCCCTGGCTATTTATAGACAGGAGCCAACAACCTGCTTGAGACTTTTCGAGGGAAGATTCAAATGAGAAGAACAGCTCTCAGACGGGAGGGCGCAGCTATCTGCGATGTGCAAAATTAGATTTATACAGACTGCAAGTAATGGGGGAGAAACAGGCAAGGCGACATTGTCTTCGAATGAGCTGGGGTGGGAAAGCAGTTTCACTGAAAATCGGGTAGCCGAGGAGCAAAGGATTTACCCGTGACCAAGGCCTACTTCTGCTGGTAGAGGGAACAACCTTGCTAGGTAGGCTCCTCTGCCTAACGCAGGCTTCTGAGAGGCACTAATGGATCTGGGCAAGGCACATCTAGACCGTGGCCATCGCTGGGCACTCTGCACTTGGCCGGACCTAAAAAGAGGTGGGGACGAGGGGCTGAATTGTTTAGGCAACCATTAATCTTTTGCCCGTAGAGTGGAAGTGCTGGACCAAAACCCTGGAGGGAGAATGCATCTCGATCTGCTCTCTGATGACCCGGGCAGCCGAAAGCTAGGAAGCCAATCTTGGGGAGACTCCCTCGAAGTCTTTGAGAGCTGATTTGCAGAGCTCTCAAACGGCCCAGCAGGCTGTTAAGTCTGTGAAAGCAAGAGAACAGAATTCCAAGCACGCCTTCCGTATGTCTTGCTTTCTGGATTTGTTTTAAGGTTGATCTATGGAGAACGGGAATGGCATATGTGTGCTTTAAAAAGCAGCTCCCAAATGTCATGTCCTAACGAAATGCAGCTGGATCTCGTACCAGAATAGGAAGTGAGCTGCTCAGCTTTCCTTTAAAAAAAAAGTAACATATTTTTCTCCACTCAGGAAAGCGAAGATCCCGATAGCTTTCCTTATAAGGATGATTTAACAAGATAAGCAAATCGTAGCACAAGCCAAGCAGTCCTATCTATGATAAAGGACGAGAATAATGCAGATGAATTTTCAGGGAAATTGGGCCTTTACCAGAAACTGGTTTCGGGGAAAACAACGTATCTAGACATAGATATGTTTTCTTTTTATTCCACAGTTTAGCTTTTATTTTTAAATTAGTAGAGGAAGGAGTCAGGTGTCTTTTCTTTTCTCTACCTCACTGTCCTTTTAGAAATAATTGGACAACTTATACCTAAAGTATACAGCAGCACTTCCTTGTAGTCCAGGCAATGTGTAAATCTCTCCTCTTCGTATACCAGCCCTGAAGAGAGTGCAAGGAGGGCTTTCTTTTACACCCATCAACTTTGTTGTTCTGCTCAGAATTAAGTTTCATAGCATTCAGTTGGCCCTATTCCCAGGAAGGGGTCTTTGGGACTACATCTTCAAGCGGCGCAGGTCCTTTCCTTGATCTAAGTGCTTCCATAGAAAAGGATTCGGGTGGCAAGGGATTCACTCAGCCTGAATCTCTACTTTCACATAAAATACCCCATCAAAATATGCGAACGGCTCATCTAAAGTATCAAGAAAGCAGCCCAGGTTTTTCTTTACTTAGCCTTCGGCTCCTTATTCCCCAAACATTACAATTTCATGGGACACCATCCGTATGGTTTATGGCATCGGCAGCCCTGCTCTCTCATGTCCAGAAAATATCATGAATGTCCTTTGATTTCAGTTTCTATGTCTCTTCTCCCCGTTTAAAAAAAGGGGAAGGAAGGAAAAAACACTCCACACCTGAAAATCTCATCTGGCACCTTGGATGCCCAAAATACAACCTCCTNGTTTTTTTTCCTCCGCGGGCCCTGAGATATGGCAATGGTAGTTAGCAGCTGGCGAGATGCGCAAGAGGACGTGGCCGGGGGCGGCCCCACCGGAGCAGCTCAGCCGGGCCGGGATCCGCAGCAAGGGGCCTCGGCGGCCCCCCACACGCCGCAAACGCCGAGCCAGCCGGGCGCCCCCTCCACGCCGGGCGACAAGGGCCAGCAGCAGCAGAGCTCCGGCCAGAGCCAACAGCAGCAACAGCAGCACATCGAGTGCGTGGTCTGCGGCGACAAGTCCAGCGGGAAGCACTACGGGCAGTTCACCTGCGAGGGCTGCAAAAGTTTCTTCAAGCGGAGCGTCCGCAGGAACTTAACGTACACTTGCCGGGCCAATCGGAACTGTCCCATCGACCAGCACCACCGCAACCAGTGCCAATACTGCCGCCTGAAGAAGTGCCTCAAAGTGGGCATGAGGAGGGAAGGTGAATATGATTTCCTCCCTATTCTAAACTCCAGGCGGGGTGTGTGGAGGAGCGGGTCCCGGAGAGGGAAGGGGGAGACCTCCTGCCCTCCCCACACACATCGCAGCTCCCCGCTCCATCCGCAGATTATTAGTCCTCTTATTATTATTACTATTAATGTCATCACCCAAGGCTACCGAGCGTATGAGTCGACTCTGCCTCTCCCCATGCCTGCCTTTTCAAAAAAAATAATAGTGATTGTGATTCGGAACTGAGGAAGGAGGAAAAGGAGAAATAAGCAGCCTTTTCTTTCCATGCTGGCTTCCCCTGCCTCGTTTCACGATTTCTAATTCCTATTAAAATGGGAATGGGGTGGTTGGATGGGAATCCTAACTTCAGACGAGTCAAACTTCCTCGAAAATGTGTTTCAAGGCTGTGCGTGCTTCTGTCTGTCTGTGTGAATTGTGCCGCTTGTGTTGCTACTTTCTGCCGTCTACCTCACCTGCTAGCTACTTCTCGTTTCCCAACATCTGGCCTTTGCCCAAATTCCTCCCCCCCCCCCGTGCTTTGGGAGGAAAGTTTGTGAATGTGTTCTGCTTTTTAAAAAAAAAACTTTTGTCATTTCACCAATCACAATCCTCTGTGTTCTCTTCATTTCATTTCCCCAGGAAACCCCATTGTCTCTTAAATGCAGTGGTACTTACCAGTTGCAAACCACCCCAAGTCAATGATTGCTGTGTTTGTTGTTGTTGTTGTTGTTGCTGCTGCTGCTGCTGCTGTTGTTACCACAAAGCATAGCTTCTTTCTGGATTGTGCTGGTCAATGTTTGAAAACAAACACAAATACTTCCAGACTTGTAATAGCAAGGTTCTTCCCCCACTCTTTATTTTATAATATGTTTCCACCTACTTTTTATTTTTCCTTCGCCTAGGTTTACTGCAATATAGGCAAGCTCTGATTTAAAATGCCCTAAGTGTCAAATTGATCCAATAATTCATTTTCTGCAGTGAAAATTTTAAAAAAATGTTAAACTACTTTCTCCCTTGTGCCCTAGCAAAAAACGAATTATTTTTTTTAAACTGTCCACTGATGACTTCATTTGTAACTTCAGCCAGCTTTTGTCAGGAAAGACATCTTGAAGAAACATAACTAGAAATTAATCAGTACAAAAATATATGAAGGAGATAAAATGTGCCACTATTTTTGAACTGTGCTTGAAATGCACAGCTGCAGCTTTGGAAATCTAAACTATAGTAACAGAAATCGAAGTGAGGTTCTGACAGCAAGGCAGAAATACCCAGATTGAAAATGATTAAAATATACAATGGTGTGAAAGAGAAAGTATTAACTGGGGGGGTAAAAATATTCAGGAGAGGCCCTCTCTTCACCTTGTCACCTTCATTTTTATAAGTCTCAAGTTAGAATTTTTTGGCCTCGGATTAGTAGATCGACACACTTACGCCCTTACACACATACACAAACTTTTCTCAGCTTTAAATAAATCCAAACACAGCTTACATTTGGGACAGTGAATGTATCCATGGCATTCGAGTAGTACGTGCAGGCGTGTGTGTACGTATGTATGTGTTGTGCATGCTGCACAGTTGCAAATGTTTGTCTTCACTGGCCAAAGCAGTAGCAAGTTGGTGCTTTCTGGAACCATACAGTTAAAGGCTTAGTGCCATCCTTCTTTCCTTGCCGCTCATGTTTGGCTTCTGTAAGTTCACAATTTATTTTAATTCATCTCTTTTAACAGTAACAACCCCCCCACCCCACCCCACCCCATCCTTTTAAATACAGAGTGTTCCATTTAAATTGGGCAGAGGCTTGCCTGTGTGTGTGTGTATGTGTGTGTGTTTAGTGGGACTGGGACCTGATAAGGCAAGGGTAGCTTTCAAAGGCTAAGGAGAGCTCTCCCTGACCCCCGCCTCCCCCTTCCCAGTTTGGTAGCCTTATTGTGCGATTCCGGACTGGCAAATAAAGGGGAGGTTTAGCTGGATGGTATTTTGCAACCGCAACAACTTTGAGCACTGACTGGGCTCAAGAGGACTCAGAATGTCTCACTGGGTCTCTGGAAAGACGAAGCGGGAACATTTTGCAGGTGGGACCAGATATTGTGTGGTTTTTTTTAAGCGTTGGCAGAGGCAGCTTTGAAAAGCTTGTGCTTTTATCCGTACCACTACCACCTTCTTCTTCTTCTTCTTCTTCTTCTTCTTCTTCTTCTTCTTCTTCTTCTTCTTCTTCTTCTTCTTCTTCTTCTTCTTCTTCTTCTTCTCATCCTCATCCTCATCCTCATCTTCTTCTTGCTGGAGGGGGGGAATAAAAGACAACCTCCCTTGCAGGAGCATCTGGTCGTCCCCAT